CCCAAGCCTGTAGCGCTGCATGGGGTTGTTGTGACTCAAGTGCAGGACCCCGGCACTTGGCCTTGTTGAAGCTCATACAGTTGGCTTTGGCCCATCAGTCCAGCTTGTCCAGGTCCCTCTGTAGATCCTTCCTACCCTTGAGCAGATCAATACTCTCACCCAGCTTGGTGTCGTCTGCAAACTTACTGAGGGACCACTTGATCCCCTTGTCTAGGTCATTGATAAATATGTGAAACAGAATTGGCCCAGATAACTGAGCCCTGGGGAACACCACTTGCGACTGGCTACCAACTGGATTTACCTCCATTCACCACAACACTTTGGGCCCAGCCATCCAGCCAGTTTTTCACACAGCGAGGAGCACACCCATCCAAGCCATGAGCAGCCAGTCTCTCCAGGAAGATGCTGTGGGGAACAGTGTCAAAGACTTAACTAGAGTCTAGGTACACAACATCCACAGTGTTTCCCTCATCCACTAAGTGGGTCACCTTGTCATAGAAGGAGATCCAGTTAGTCAAGCAGGACCTGCGTTTCGTAAACCCATGCTGACTGCATCTGATCACCTGGTTGTCCTGTATGTGCTGCGTGATGGCACTCAAGATGATCTGCCCCATAACCAGCTCTGGCAGCAAGGTCAGACTGACAGGTCTGTAGTTCCCCAGATCCTCCTTCTGGCCCTTCTTATAGATGGGTGTCACATTTGCTAACCTCCAGTCAACTGGGACCTCCCCGGTTAGCCAGGACTGCTGATAAATCATGGAAGGCGGCTTGGTGAGCACTTCCGCCAGCTCCCTCAGTACCCTTCGGTGGATCCCGTCTGGTCCCTTAGACTTGTATGTGTCTAAGTAGTGTCTCAAGTCACTAACATTTCCCCTTGGATTATGGGGGCTTCATTCTGCTCCCTGTCCCCGTCTTCCAGCTCAGGGGGCTGTGTACCTGGGGAACATCTGGTCTTACTATTAAACACTAAGTCAAAGAAGGCAGGTTGGACTAGATGATCTTTCAGGTCACTTCCAACCTGAACCGTTCTATGATTAAGTACCTCAGCCTTTTCCTCATCCTTCCTTTGTCACTATGGTCCTCATCCTTCCCATGTCAACCTCATCTAATAAGGGCTGGAGATTCTCCCTAGCTCTCCTTTTGTTGCTAATGTGTTTATAGAAATACATTATTATTGGATGGCCCCATAAGAAGCCATATAAACTACAGGTGATGGTTTTTGGGTTTGCCATATTAAAGAATTGAAGGAATAGGAGGAAACTGGGGGGTACAACAGGATGCTAGACTAGACTGAACAAGGGGTTGTGTGGAGACTCTTGAGTTCAGTGCTAGTCACACCTGCCAGTCTTCTTCCTCCTCTCTGTGTCTCCCCTGG